CGTGCCTCTGTCAAGGTGCTTTCTTAAATACTCACCCCTCTGTCTCCTGCTCCTGCTCAGAGCTCAGCTGGGATGTTGTTTATTTGCCATGGGTTTCATCCACTCAGCTTTTAATTGCTTTTCAAAAAATTATGGGAAGGGGAAGGCTCTTTCAGAGGTGTCTGATCTAGGAAAAAATTCCTTATTCCCTTTGGGTCAACTGGTATGGCCTAAGGAAGAGGAGACTGTTCTTCCACAGAGGGGGACACCTGGAGCTCTAGGGCTGCCATGGTCTTGGACGATAAATATTGAAAATCCTCACTCTTAAAAAAAAATCTTATTGATTGAAGTATCAGAACAATCTCCCTTTCATCCTCATCAGAAAGAAATTCATCCTCCTCCCTTTGAACCGCATCACTACCAGAAGATTCTTCCCACCTCGATTGCGTTCTTTCCCTCTTTTTTTTACTGACAGTCCCTTTTTTGGCCGCTTTAGTGGGCCATTGGGATTTTGTACTAGAGGGCAGCCTTTCACTAGAGGCTCTCTGGGGAAAGGGAGAGGAGCCAGCGACACCTTTTAGTTTAATGCCACCCTGTTGATAAAAGTTAAAGATTGTCTGCCTTACGAGAGAAAAGAAGTCTGGGGAAACAAGGAATGGCCGTGTGTGTGTGTGTGTGTGTGCTGGCAATCAGAAGTTGTGATGTCCTGCTGGATAGTCTTGCAATCTGCAGCCGATGTAATCAGCTGTTTGTTTCTGTGAACTCTGGGAGACCCGGGGAGGCGAAAGGCCTCTCGCTGCAGCTTCCATTTGAGCGAGCAGGGTGAGTGTTGTTGGCTGGGGAGGTGCTAGGCAAGACAGTGGTCTCAGGGGCCTGCTGACTCTTGCGGCGTTTTTTAATGTGCTTTTTAGTTTCCTCGTGATGAGGCGAGCTCACCGGAGAGGCCAAGACAAGCCTGCTATGGGTCTTGTCGGCTCCACTGCCGCTTCTTCTATCACCCGCAATAATAGGGCCTTCTGGTTCCTTGGCTGAAAGAAAGCCATTGCTGTCAGCTTGTTGCACCAATATCTTAAGTCTGGCAGAGGCACTTGCTCTGAACCCAATCGTTTTAGCAAAATGGCAGCCGCTAAAGAAACAGCTCTAAGAGACTGTTCCTAAACAACTCCCCAACGGTTGAAGATTCAGAGTATATAGAGAGAAGAATAAAAACCAAGTGTACAGGAAGGAGGGTTAGAGGTTAGATAATATAAAGAGGTCAGCAAAGTTGGAATTCAGGAATTAGATGAGGCAAAGCCTAATCTAAGCTGCTTTCTCTGTGAGGCAAGAAAATAACTGAGGGGATGGGCAACTCCCATGCAGGACACAGAAAGTGAGGAGGTTTGTTCCTACCTACTTGATAGGATGGTGGGAATCGCCCACCAAGATGTCCTCCGCCTCAGAGAGAGAGACTGTCACAGTTTGCCTCTGTCAAAGCAGATATAAACACTGACAGCCAATGGGTTTAGTGGTTAGAGGGTTGGACTAGGATCTAGGAGGTTCAAATCCCTACTATGCCAGCTTGCTGGGTAACCCTGGGCCAATCACTTACTCTCAACCTAACCTACCTCACAAGGTTGTTGTGAGGATAAAATGGAGGAGAGGAGAATGACATTGGGTTCCCACTGGAGAGAAAGGTAAGGTATAAATCAGGGGTGTCAAACATAAGGCCTGGGGGCTGGAACCGGCCCATTCAGGGCTCTTATGTGGCCTGTGAACAACTAGTGCAAGGGAGGGAACAGGAGACTGCTTGGGGGGAAGTGGGCAGAGCCACTCCAACTGTGGCATTACAACATCTGCAGCAGTCAAGCAGTGTGGGAGTGTCTGCTCAGTGCTGCACCGCTGGCTCTCCAGTCGGCCCATATGGGTTTTCCTTTGCATACCCCTCCCAGCCCATGGGGCCTTGCAGTGAGGATACATACAATTCAGAACTTACCAGCTGCTGTCCTTTATACAGTTTATATCTCCGCTACCTGGCTTTATGTTTTATGGCACACATGGCCCAGCCCGACAAAGTGACATTTATGTCAGATCTGGCCCTTGTAACAAATTGAGTTCGACACTTCTGATATAAATGAAGTAACTAAATAAATAATTCTATGTGCAAAAGGCAAGTAAGTGACATGATCAGAAGATCTGGATATGTATCCAGGATGTATAAAAGCTCCGTTTAATAACAAGCTAATACAGTTTCTATTTTAAGACCAAAACAGTATGTACACTTGATGTGGAGACATATAAATTTGAAAACAAGAGACCCAGTCTCCTGCATGGTCTTGGGAAGACCATTCTTCAGATTCCCACCTCTCTGGATTGTGGCAAGCATTGTGAACCAACACATGCAGTGCATGCTATAAATAAGAAGTGCTAGAAATCAGAAGTAGTTATTGCAACTGCAACACAGTGATGCTTATAAAAGGGTAAACAAATGCCCAGGTTGTTCCTTTACTCCCTCTTAACTAAGCCCGGATCTGTGTTTTAAACCTACCCTTTCATAAAGCTGCCAGCCAGCAGAACATAATGCCAAATCCAGCGGTTTCTATTTGATATTTGCAGAGCACACATCATGGACGTATTAACAACCAGGAGCAATCTGTATCCTTCGTTAGAGACTTGGGGACTTACAGAGCAGCAAGTTAAAAGTTTAAATAAGTAAAAGGCAGCACATAAAGCCTGATTCACTTTTGCCAAATGAATACCCCCATGCTGGATACCAACAAATCACTGACCTGCTTTTGGTGGCATGTGCAGGATGTTCTCAGCCCAACATTTCTGTGTGCCTGACATTTTAGAAACCTGCCGTGCGCTTATTCCATCTGTGCTTCTCCTGAAGGCACTGCATGTCATTCTTACACAGATATGCCCTCCCATTCCCTAGCTTGGGCGATGCAAGGGGTGGACTGGGAAACAGAATGGAAGAATGGAGGCTCAAAGAGGTTTTGCTTGGAAGATATTTTACTACTACCCCATAAGACAGATGGGAGAGAAACAAGTAGGGGGAAGATCGTTAAATCAAAAGCCCAGCAGCTCTGCAGGGCAGCATGCAGACTTGCCACGATACTCACTCAAGCTGCCCAGCTGTCGAATGACATTTGCCAGGGTGATGTTGGTCACACACTCCAGTTCATTCCGAACATTAGGCAGTGTCTGACGGCACAGGTGCCTTGGCTCGATGTTTCTTGTTACTAATGGCATGATGGACCAGCTTCAGGCAGTGTTCTGAAAAATAAAAACACATCCCAGAACAGGGAGAAAGGATTACTCAGCCACAAATCCTGGTGACAACCTAGGCATAGCACTCATTTCTCTGCTCAGAACAGGCTTTAGGCTTTATTGGAGTCATAATTTCTATCCCTTTCTTTACTGCCTCCCCTCCATAACCTTATCAGAACTGGCCTTTCAAAATAAAGATGCAGATGTTTTCAGGCAACACCACCAGGACCTTCAGCCGTGGGACACTCCCCACTCCCAGTCCCACTCCCACCTAACACAAAACCAGCATTGTTGTTCTACCCTGTCCACTTCTACACATTCAGACAAAACCATCCAATTGAACTCTCTCCAAACACTTCTGAATGTTTATGCAAAGGCCACTGCGGGAGGGAGGTGGGACTGGTTTAAACTGAGCAACAGATTTTTAAACTAAAGATGCTACTGCATTTCTCAGCCCCACTATTTCACATACCCCCCAAATCCCCATTTTGATTTTGCTCCTCCATGTGGAAATAGAATCTCTAAATCTTTATTTCCATTCCATTTTCTGTTTCTGCAAGCCACTTTTTGCCTGTTAAATCAGGGAGATTTTTAAGATTTTTGCATCAAATGTAGTAAAAGAACCTCAAATGAGTGAAGAACACTACCAAACAAAATGGGTGAACTGAAAATGCTCAAAGTGACAAAACAAAATGAGCAAGTGCATATTCCTACATCCCAGCTAAAAATATTTCTATCATGCTGAACAGGCTGGGCTTTCAGGAAAAAAACAGGAAGCAATTTTAGCTGACCAGGAAGTTTGCTTAACAACTGCTTTGCAGCTGAAGAACAGCATGCCTCCCCAAGTTCCCTTGTGATATAAGGTCTTTATTGTTTCAAAGATACTGAGGTCTACATACATCCAGAATTTTTATACAAACAGAGAGCAGTTCGTGGTCTACCTGCAACAGAACTCAAAGATTCTCCCTTCAAGCATTAAAATAAGGCTCTGAAAGAATTTGCTAGTGGCACCATGTTTATTTGTAAGTGAATGACAGCCGCTAGTTACTCCTACTTTGTTTCATCTTCAACTGTTGGTAATTTTCTAGGCATAGTTCAAATTAGTAATTTTAACTTTTAAAGCCCTAAATGATCTGGATCTGTCCTATCCTAGGGACCACGTTCTCCCACAGAGATCTCCCTGGCTGGACACAGAGGTCATTATCTTTGAAGTACCAAAGGGAAGGATCTGCCTTCTTTACCCTACTCTATCAGGGTCTTAAATTTGTTCTGTCCCCTCACCAATTATATAACTTAGTTATATCAGCCTGTTACTTCAAGTTAAGCAGCTTGCATTAGAATTTCTCTTTTATACAGAAGATTTCAAAGCGCTTAAAGAAAAACAAAACCAGGTATTTATGACACATTTAAACAGTGACAGTAACATGCACCATACCTCCTTGACTAATACCTTAGAACAGCGATGGCGAACCTTTTAGAGACCGAGTGCCCAAACTGAGACCCAAAACACACTTATTTATCGCAAAGTGCCAACACGGCAATTTAACCTGAATACTGAGGTTTTACTTTAGAAACTTTATTTCTACATTAACTTAAGATGATCCAAACAAAGTAAGGAAAGCAATCCCAAATGCTTTCATTTACTTAAAATTATTTGGCAGAGAATTTGACACTTTAATGATGGTCTTGGCCTGGCTGGGGCGATGGCACACGTGCCCACAGAGAGGGCTCTAAGTGCCACCTCTGGCACCCGTGCCATAGGTTCGCCACCACTGCCTTAGAAGGAAAAAACAAGCACCCCCCCCAGGTCAGATGGTGAACAGCTCTGCCAGAGGTGACAGCTGTCTTGAAACAAAGATTCTGATCTGTTATGAATGGAATGGTAAAAAAAAAAAAAAGCAGGAAGCTGACAGCTTTGGGGAACAGGGATTCCCTGTCACCAACAGCAACAAACCAAGACTCATTTTTTAAAAAGTCAGCTGTTTGTGCATGACTTTGAACCACCCTTTTACAGTCTCTATGGCAGCTGGCAGCTTATCTCTGAGGTCCAGGAGTCATTCCTGGATGCTTTTCTATCAAGAGTGTTAAGGGACTGAAGCCCATATTAGCTTTTGCTAATTACCTCCCAAGCCAAAAATCTGAATTTCCAAATTTGACCTGCATCTGCAGAAGAGTTCAAGACCTGGAGGGCAGGCACCCACGGTTTTTACATGTAACATGAGGTTACCAAACAAACAACCTTCAAGAAATTAACAACCTAAACCAAGAAGAGGCAGGAGATCTTAATGGTTCTTGCACTGCTCAGATATTGCCAAGGTCACCCAGCTTAACATCCATAATCACAACAAGGATGAGGACAGATTCTTAGTCACAGCATATTTTCCAGACAGGGAATTTGTTATTACTTCTCTGTGGACTAAGTGGTCAGTCATTTACCCTCACATTAACTCTGCCTGTGTCTGAACCTCACTCTCCCAGGTTGATGGCTGAGGGCTATTTCAGAGGTGTGACTTTCCCTGCACAAAATTACCTCTGTGCAGGAAAAATGTCACCCATAGTTTTGTCTGTGTAAGGGCAGAACGTCATGATGCCCAAATTACAGAGTTTGCACTGAAAACTTAACCCTTGTATTGAGTTCTCCCATTGTCTGTAATGTGATAATACCAAATCACTGAATGCATTTCCCCACACATGCTCCCACATCACTCGCTACCACCAATGAGGGAGGAGGGAAAACATAGAATGCGATGCCAATGTGATCTGGGATGAGTTCAGTAACCTTCTGTGTTACAAGGGTGTTGGGGGAGAACCTGACAGCCCCATGTCACGTGTACTACATAAGTCCTTCCCAAACTGTCAACACCAATGTTTCTCTTCCATTACAGCAAAAAGGCATGTGACACAGTTTCTACATGGAGGGCTGGAAATTAAGGGAGAATCAAAATGTCTCAATTTTCCTCAATGCTCAACCCTAAACATGTGCATGTAGCCATGGATTCTCTAATGGACCTAGTGAAACATTCTGGGGTTGATGAAGTCACTAGAGAAGAAACAGTAAAGGAAGAGAAAGAATGGAAAAGATACAGGTCTTGATGAATCCCTGGACAACAGTCAAAAGAAAATGACATGGAGATTATGCAAGATCCCAAAGAGTCAAGTAAAAGTACATGAGAAACGACCACAATTGTAGTGATCGAACAAATTCAAGAACTACGCATATGGGTTTACCTCACTGGGCATCACATGTGACTGCAAAGAACCTATATCCTAAACACAAAGAAGCAATAAACAGATATGGCATGAAGAGCCGATTGGTAGTAGATGAATAGGAAACCCTTGATACAAATACAGCCATTTCCATGAATTAAAGTAGCAAGACAATGAGGTGGGGCTCAGTAATATTTCTCATACATCTGTTCTAAAAACCCTGTTTTCGCAATACATGTTAAGTTCAGATATTCCACCAGAATGGCTCAGAACACACCAGCAGGTAACACCTTCTCCAGTGTCAAGGCTTGCAGGCTGACCGCCCAGAGAGATGCTGTGCTGTGTCCTGTTTAACAAAGTTCATACAGAGGGCATAATAATATTTTCTTGGTAGTGGAACCACTGATTCGGAATGCAGCCTCTAAGGAGGATGGGCTGAACAACACCTCCATATAGTTTCTGGTAAAAAAACAACAACCAACTACGGGGGCACGAACCACTCCAAGACCTGCGGTGCACACAGTTGAGCAGAAAACAAGGGGAAGACTGATAGAGAGTAAGGAATGAGCAGTAGGAAAATCTTGCACGCTAGTCAGTGCAAGCAGAAGGGAAAAGAAGGACGCACCAAGGGAATGGCACATCCAGAATAACTTCAGGGTTTAAATCAGCTTTAGTTACATATCAGAAGGATTAGAAAAGAGGGCACAAACATTCACTGCTAAGATAAGATCCAGTCTAGACATTACTCAGTTGTTTTGGAACACGATAATTTATGTGATGTTACCATGTGTAATCAACTGCATATGACACAAAGTACTATCCAATGCTTTTGTTAAGCTATTTTATAGTAGTGTTTGGTTTTCTCCACATAATCACTTCAAGGAATCTTATCCCACAACACCATGAAGTTCTCCAAAGGCTGGAGTGGTTGCCAATGTTGTTGCTGTTTCCCCACATGGTATCCCTACTGCTAAACATGCAGATTTGAGGTCATCCTCCACCCATTTATTTATTATTTTGTATATTGTAAAGAATGACATAGAAGTGGGGGTAAAGCTTGTCATTATACCTGTTTTTTTAACTAAAGAGTCCTCATTTTGGTAGATGTCTCTGTGATGTCTGCCCTGTTCATAAATATCACATTTTAAAAAGAAGTCTAAAGGCAAAGTCTGGCAGACGACACATTATCAGCTCTGTGAAGTGCAAAGATACTCTTGCCGAATGTGCAATTTCTGTGCCAGTACTGTCATGCACTAACATAGCAAACTGAATCCTAGATAGTCCACTGTCAACTCAGATACTCTGCCCCCCCCCCCAACAACTGGTCTAGGGGATTCATTACAATATCCAAAGCTGCACTGCACACAAACACAACATATACATTCCATGACACCACGTGGAAAATATACTGCAACAATTCAATCACAGAACGAAGGAGGCAGACAAGGGAAAGAGCCAACATGTCATCTCTTCATGGTAGACACATCAAAAACTTAACCACCACGTGAAAATAGACCTATAAGCAATGTTCCCTCTAAGCTGTGGAGTCTAGTGTGCAAAAATTCTACTTTGTGAGCAACTGGCATTAAAGCTGTGAGCCAGCTATTTGGCTACTGCATAAATTAGTTTGCTCTGGGGCCATCCTTCCTGAGCTAAGACAAAAATCTGTGAGCTGAAGGCTAAAAAACTGTGAGCTAGCTCACACTAACTCAGCTTAGAGGGAACACTGCCTATAAGTATATCATCTTGAGCAAACAGTGGAAACTGGATGGCAGCTCCATTTCTAAAACTGGAAAGCT